CTCTGAATCAGCTAGGTAGACAACTGTTGCTTTGGATAATGTATTGCCTGTTGTTGCATTGTTAACCCAGCAAATTATTCTCAGGTGAGAAGCATTGTCTTTTTTTTTTTTTTTTTAAAAAGGAAAAAGGCAGATTCAGTAAAAGATGTTTCAGAAACTGGATGGGAATATTCTTCTAGCCCTGCCTAAATAGTGGGCAACTTGAAAATATGTTACAGGAGATCAAATGAATTTCTGGTGTAACTTAATGGGAAGCCAGGTGCAGAGATTGGGAAAAAAAAAAAAGAAAAAAAAAGAAGAAGAACATGATGAGAAAAGAATAGTTCTGGCACAACACCTCACTGAGGGATATGAGTAGTGACTGTGCATTGAATGTTGTTTGAAAGTACCATCAAAGGTAGATAAAAGTCAGGAATATCGTGAGGGGAAGTGAATAACTAGCACAGGGAGAGCAGTTACTCCAGGGGCTTTCTGCTGCTTATGTGTGCACAGCTGGGGCCTCTAAGGATGGGGGGTGTTTTGGAAGAGATGAAAGGTCATGTCAAGTTGATTTAGCACCTACAAGTGCTATTGGTATGCTGCTTAGTCCCTAATCTGTGAGGTAGAGAACAAGAAGCTTGTGCTATTTGCTTAACTGAAAAATATGGGTTTCCCCACCACCACCAATTAAGAGCATTTCTAAAAATAGAAATCTAGCTTGATGTACATGTTTAAAAGAAACTTATCTTCTCAATGAGAACCAGGCTTCTCTGATTATACTATATTCTCAGAATAGCCTGAAACTTAAATCAGTTCTTAATCCCTGGTCAAATATGCTTTTCTATGCATTTAATTTCCATTTTGTGTCACAAAGCTGAGTTCTTGGGTGTGTTATACACTACTGGGACAAGAAATGCAGTACAAAGAGCACCAGACACAGTAGTTCCCTGCAGTCTCATAAAGTCCTGTACAAAAAGGTACAAATACTAGAGGTGTTAAAGTTGGAAAATTAAATGCAAAGTTCTTTGTTTTTAAGTTTGCAATGTGAAGTAGCTCATGCTATATATAATATGTGAGGGCAAAACACTCTGCTTTCAAAATGGATAAAACAGTCTGCAGGGAAAGCGAG